TCAACATTCTCACCAGTGTTAATGAGAGAATCACTGAAATGATATAAGCTGGTCCTTTTGTGGCAGGGCTGAAATGCAGTGGAAATAGTTTTTTTGGGATTAAGTTCATTTTCATGGCAAAGAGGGACTTTTCAATTAATTGCAATTTATCTGATCACTCTTCATAACATTCTGGAGAATATGCAAATTGTCATCATAAGAACTGAGGCAGCAGACTTTGTGAAAATTAATATTTGTCTCATTCTCAAACTTTTGGCCATGGCTGTTAACGAAAACCAACACTAAACTAAAACTAGCCATGAAAAAAAAGTTAACTGAAATAAAAACATTACTTTTCAAAAAAATAAAAACTAAACTACATTGAACAATGCAACAAACTAAAACAAAATAGAAATGCAGGTAAAATCAACTTTGTTTGCACTGTGGTTGTGGGTAGCAGTTTAGGACACTACGCCACCTACAGGAAGCAGAGGAAATGGGAGCATTAATAATCCAGGCCCTTCATAGTTATAATGTTACAGGAAAAAGGTGAGGCGTTTGGAAGGGAATGTTAAGGCAGGGAAACAAAATGATGGGCCTTTATGAAGTGTTCATGATTAGTGATGAATACTAATATGATAATTGTCTAGCACTGAGAGACATACTGCGATTTCTGGTTGTCATAGTCTGTGATCAAAGTAAAATAAAATGCATTGTTCCCCGATGATGATATATAGCTAACTAAGCTGCTAAACCTGTTGTGAGATCACAGACAAAAAGTTATCTCAAGATCACAAGAAAAATGTCTCAATATTACATGAAGAAAAATATAATGATGTATGTTTCCCCTCTGGCTGCCTTTTTAATGTGGAGGACCTTAAATCATGTGTGATGAGCTTGATCGCTTGACATTGGTTCTCTTTTTTAGGAGCAATTAAGTCTGAGAATCAGTCACAGATGACAGCATGTCTATTGTGTTACCTGATTTTGACTCATATTACTAATGATTTTACACATATCAGTCATCATCCTCAAGACAGCATACCGTGAAAGCACCTTCTTTGTATGTACAGCAACTCACACTCCACTTAATACCATTGGACATTTCCCTGTGATAATTCAGGCTGGCAGTTTGATCATGGCCATAATAGCACCCTTCATGCATAATCGTTCAGTCACAAGTCCACAACTATTCAAAACTTTATTGGATATGCAGTTTACCATAGAAAACTTTCAATACTAATTCAAAACGACTCGTCTGGATAATTGTTTATTAAATTGTAGCTTACAAATTTGTGGATCTGATAATATATGACAATGAAAAGGTGCAACTCATACAAAAAAATCGCTTAACCAATCAAATAATTCATTTGCAGACAGAGCAAACAGACATAACTAGATTATATTGTAAGTTATATGCTACAGAACAAAGATGAAGCAGCAAATGTATAATTTGTGTGTGGGGAGAGTGAATTAACTGGAAATGTATCTAATTTCGTTTCCAGGTAGGCATTGATGTCTGCCTGGGGGCGACACCATCAGAGCAGGGTTTAAAGTGAGTGCTGGTCTGCAGACACTCAGGGGTGAGCTTCAGACAGACGAAGCAGAACTCCTTCTGACACCTCCAGCAGATTATGTTCTTGCAGCCACTCTTGTCATGCTCGATCAGTACGCCACAGGTGGGACAGGCGCGTGTGGAGGGGCACTGCACGTTCTGCACTTCTGGCAGGATAGTCATGGAGCATTTCTGCAGCAGGTCCAGTTCCTTGTTGGTGCAGCCATCATTGTCGCAGCGGTCGGATCGTGGCCCAGGCCCTTTCCACTGCCTTAGGCACTGCCAGCAGAATTCATAGGTTCGGCCCATCTCAGCAGTGCAGACCGTGCAGCGTACATTCAGATTGGTCAAGTCTTCCCTTTCCACAAATGACTGGCACCCGGGACACTTCACAAAAGTAAAGAGAAAACTTGTTTTTCCGATACATTGCCTATCCCGTCTGACAAATAGAATTAAAACTAGGATAATCCCTGAGGTCTCACCGAGTTCTATAACTGCATGAATTACACTTAATATTCTATATTAATATACAGTGGTATGCAAAAGTTTGGAATAACAATAAATAACATATTTTGGTCATTTTTTTATTGAAAAAAATGTAAACAGTCTCTGTAGGAAATGGAGAAAAATGCACACTATTTTCACCAAATATTGATGCATAGTTACTTTTTATGTCATAAATTGAACAAAGATAAAAAATAAAAACATTATTATGGCACTGTGCAAAAGTTTGGGCACCCTAAGAGTTCCAAAGTCTCAGATTCCTTTTTACAAAGTTTCAGACCTAGACCTAGACTCTAGACCTAGATCTGATGCATGGCGACAGCTGTCAGCTGGTGCCAATTTCAAAACTTTACAAATACTCTGACTCTTCAAACATTGTGCACACACTTGTGGACACTCAACAACCATGGGTTCCTCTAAGCAGCTGTGTAAGACTCTGAAAATGAAAGTTATTGATGCCCACAATACAAGAAGACTACAAGAGAAGGAGAAAGCTACAAGAAGATAGCAGAGCATTGTCATCTTGCAGTTTCCACAGTGAGAAATGTAATTAAGAGATGGCAGTTCAGGGGAACTGTGTAGGGCAAGATGAGATCTGGAAGACCAAGACAATTCTCAGAGAGAACTGCTCGTATGTTGGTCAGAAAGACAAATCAAAACCCCCATTTGACTGCAAAAAAACCTGCAGGAACATTTAGCAGACTCAGGAGTGGTGGTGCACCGTTCCACAAGACCTTCATGGAAGAGTCAGCAGAAGAAAACCTTACCTGCATCCCCATCATAAAATCCAACGTCAGAAGTATGCAACAGAACAGAACAGAAGCCTGACGCGTTTTGGAAACAAGTGCTGTGGACTGATGAAGTTAATATAGAACTCTTTGGCCACAATCAGCAAAGGCATGTTTGGAGAAAAAAAAGGAGCAGCATTTCATGAAAAGAACACCTTGCCAACTATTAAGCATGGGGGTGTATCTATCATGCTTTGGGATTGTGTTGCAGCCAGTGGCACAGGAAACATTGCACGGGTAGAGGGAAGAATGGATTCCACTAAATACCAGCAAATTCTGGAAGCAAACATCACACCATCTGTAAAAAAGCTGAAGCTGAAAAGAGGATGGCTTCTACAACAGGACAATGATCCTAAACATACCTCGAAATCCACCATGGACTACCTCAAGAGACACAAGCTGAAGGTTTTGGAATGGCCATCAGTCCCCTGATTTAAACATCATTGAAAATTTGTGGGTAGATCTTTAAAGAGCTGTGCATGCAAGACGACCAAAGAATATTACAGAACTAGAAGCCTTTTGCAAGGAAGAATGGGAGAAAATCCCAAGTACGAGAATTGAAAGACCTTTAGCTGGCTATAAAAAGCATTTGCAAGCTGTGATATCTGCCAGAGGAGGTGTTACTAAGTACTGATTATTTAGGGTGCCCAAACCTTTGCAGAGTGCCACAAAAATGTTTTTATTTTTATGTTTTTTTTCAATTTATGACATAAAAAGTAACTATGCATCAATGTTTGGTGAAAATATTGTGCATTTTTTCCATTTCCTACAGAGACTGTGTTGTTTACATCTTTTCCATTAAAAAATGACCAAAATGTGTTATTTATCGAGGGGTGTCCAAACTTTTGCATACCACTGTATAAGTTCATCAAGTGCAATAATCCATATAAAGATGAGATAGTAATGATTACAGGCACAATTAGAGTGGTGGTGATTTTCTCATATAATATAATACTTACTGACTTATATTCGCAGAACTCTGCAGCAGCCAGAGCTGCCATAGTCTCCTCGAAATGTCTCTGCTCGCTGTCTGTCAGCAGTGCCAGTTTCCGAACCTCCTGGTAGGACCACTCCGTCCCACACTGCTCTATGGTTCCATCCTTCAGAGCCGGACACATGAACTTATACTGACCCTACAGATAAATGGCAAAGCAAGAGTGAGAGGGAAAAGGCCTGTAAATGCAACCAAAATGCTGATTAGACACCAAGCTGTTTTAGGGAGAAACAGAAAGGGCTAATATGGTGACTAAATAAAGTGTCACACCTTATCAAGGAGACTTCGACACCAAGCGGTCAGAGACTGTGGAGTGACAGCATGCCCACAGGACATTTCCGCCCTCAGTGTGTCTGGGTCATCAT